AATGTGCACACAACAGAACCGGTCAAACTCCCCACTCATTCAGGAAATACTTAAACAAGCTGCTGCAAAAGGCAGTGTCATTATCCATCAAAATTTCAGTCGGCGGGCCCTGCTCATAAAACAGTGCTTTCAACAGACTGATCACACTTGCTGCATCCTGCTGGGGATGGTAAACAGAGTTAGGCCACAATCAATTAATGTCAAAAAATGGGCTCCCTTATAATGGGTAATACCCGGTGGCAAGTCTCTTCAACAGCCAGTGTATAGGTGATGGGTTGATTGACTGACATTCCTCAGACTCCCTGAGGATGCTTCTCACAGTTTCCTTGGACACTACAAGGTTAATCTGCTTTATGAAGTAGAGTGTCCGCCTCACACCAGGATGCCCGCTCTGTCAGTGTATAGTTCTGATTTGGTCAGAACAAACCAAGCTCATGAATGCAGTGCAAGTAGGTTGTATGGGCTCAATGTTCCTTCTAATTGCATCAATCCACCTCTGAGGCACCCTCATCAGTCAATCTGCTTTGTTTTGGCTAGATTTAACCAAGGTCACATCCATCAATAATGCATATTCGTTCACCAGTTTCATCAGAATATCGAGCCATCATCAGATGAGCATCTTGTTCACTGCTTTTGTTCGCACTCTGGCCCTCCCCATGAGGGTGTCTGACACCCATTTATGGACACAAGTGGAATCCGTGAACAGGTGCAAGGTAGTCGCCTTCCAGAGGATTGCCAAATTCACCCTTTTAATAATGGCATCAAATTCTGCAAGTTTAATATGTTGGGAGGTCTTTTTTGGCCGTAACCAACAGGCATCCTCTACCACAGTCTCACCACATTCCAATGACACACTGGTAGCAAGAGAGCTTGTATCGACCCATACACCAAAGTCTTGACCATTGACACACCATTTGCCATGTGCCAGGTCCTCCTTGTGCACTCTGGTGAGAAACTCCTTGATCATGGTGTTGAGAGGGGCATCGTCAACTTTGTCATCCCAACCAGCAGTAACCTCGGATGCTCTTCACTTGAAGAACACCACAGCCACACAAAGCCATCCACCCACAGGAATATGTCCAACCAGCTTGCCGCATAATGAAAATACGTTGTGTCAGGTGACAATGTGAGGCATATCCGGGATCCTGTTCGCTCTTTTTCAGTAGAGTGTGTGATGCTCCACCAGACCTGTAGACCAAGCACTCACGCGCCATCCTTTAGCTTCTCCGATTCTTTGTTCCTGAGTCAAAAGCTGTCGAGATATTCCTTCACACATGCTGCGAGAACAACACTCTCATCCATGTATACGTCATCAATGTAGGTAGACATTGCCCATTGTATCTCAAGGGGATTTCTGTTAGTCCTTTTCAATGTGATGCTTCCAACACCATGGCTAAAAAGGCACTTCCCACCTGCCGTCAAGATTGTGGTGCGTTTCTGTCTTTTGGGTTGACATATCGACCCACTTACAACGGATGAGGAGCAGCCGGAGTCCACCAACGCTGTTCGGTCTATCCCATCAATTTCGAACTTTATCACAGGGAGCACCTCTTTTAGTCTGTGTGGGGAGAGAATGGTGCTTACTTCTCACCCCCGGTCTCATTTTCCGAACACCTGCAACATGTCCTTTTTTTTTTTGGTACCAGTAGCAGCGTATCTCTGGAAGTGTCCTTTTCGCTTTGTCACCTTGCCGCCCCTTCCTAGGATTCCCGCAGTGCATAGCAAAGTGATTAGGTCCTCCGCACTCATAGCATTGCAATCCATCCCTTCACTCAGGGGGGTGAAGGTGGGTCTACAGGTACACAAGGGAGGACCCTGCATTGCCTGATGGCAGCAGCAACAGGCTTATCAATCTACACTTCAGTCATGAGGGCTCAAGCCCTGGTGGGAACCTGCTTCGATGTCATATCTTCCATCCTCAAGGATGCCCACAATTGCTGTCTGACATGAGTAGGAAGTCCCGAGACAAATGCACAAGTCAGCCATCGATCAGGCAGGCCGCCTCCAGCCAAACACATCAGGTTCTGCAAATCACCCAAATACTCGTCTATGGTTTCTCCAGGATGTGAACGAAAAGATACAAACTTGTCAAATGCAACAAAAGGATCTGGTGCGAAGGCTACGAGAAGGGCTCGTTTCACCTGTTCCAAGTCCTCTCTTTGGGCATGTGACAATTGTTGGTACCAACAGAGCTCCACCTCTCAATCTTAGCAGTATAATGCACCCAACATTGTCCATCCCACATATCTTGCACACAAGCTCCACCTGTTCCATCCATTCAGACACTGTGTGATCTGATGAAATTCCATGAAATTCCGGAATTAGCCGGATGTCAAAAGACTTGCTTGCCATTACAGCAAACGAAAAAGCAAATGCCAAAATAGCTTTTAGGAAAAAATAAATGAGGTGGGTAAAAAAAAAAAAATCCAGTCCAGCGTTCACTGGCAGACTAACTCATCTTCTTTTATTTCCTCACTCACCTAAAGGAAATAGATTCCGGGGCTCTATTTCTTCACCACCACACACTGGGCACTTTTCAGTTGACAAAGTCAGTCGCGTCTCTTTCAGCTTCTTTTTTCCTGTCAATCCATTCGTCGCTTTTTATGTCTCCTCAAGCAGGACAGAATTTGCATATGTGCAAATCCTGTCTTATAGAGGCAAGAGAAGCAGTCATAAATTGTGCCCCCAGGAGCAGCCATATTTTCTTTTCAGCACTTTGCAAGCAAGACACGTCCATGCTCATTTCAATCTCCAGGGTAAGTCATTTCTTTTGTCCCAACACATATTACTACCATAAGTGTATTTAAACTTGTGTTCTTGATAGATCTATCCAATATTTCTGTATCTTAAAAGGTGGTACATGACAACATGATATCAGATCGACAGAATAATCAAAAAGCCTAAACTATAAACCTGACAATTGTCAAAAACCTGACAATTACTTAGATTTATAGGAAGTTTGCTTATAATCCAGTAGAAAAATGTATGCTAATTATGCAAAATAAACTAAAAGTCACTTTTAATAGTGTTAGCAACTGTTATGATGCTAAAGATTTTGAGTTTTATTTTCTACAAATGTAAAATGTTAGAATCATTAGAGGAAGGGCATGACATTAACTAGAAAAGTTAGCCATTTAAACAAGTGATGCTGTTTAATAAAATAAGTACGATTTTTAACATTTGGATATATTTAGTAGTTTTGCATAGAAATAATCTAATGAATACAATTTTCAGTCATTAACATTTTAAACACAAATCAATTTTAGAATTTGAGGAAAAGAAATTGTATGAATGAAACTATAACAAATTTTAATTTATCACTTTATGCAAACAATTTCATATAAATTGTCACAATAACATTTTTCCAATATGTAAAGAATTATGTAAATGAAGTCAAATATTTATATCAAAATAGAGAATTTTTAAATTTTAAAGAGAAAAAGAGAACCTATGATTACAAAAATAAAAAAATCCTGAGAAGATTTTTTAAATACTGAATTTTCAACAAATTCAGGTTTGAAAGCTTTTGCTTCTGCAGCTGCCCATGCACATTTATATATATATAACACAAATACACACGGAATAAGACAACATTTCATGCTGACATTACATGACAACAGCGTGACAATAGCACCGCCAAACTGGACATCAAACCTTCACCAAATTCAAATGAAAAGCTAAAAGTTGCCCTGGCAACACACATGCACACAATGTTCAGGAAGAGCCACCCACTCTCTCGTTCTATACTTGGAAAAATCAAAGTCATTAACTCTAAATCTAAAGGGCTGCATATTATCTCAAACTCATCAGCAGTTTCATCCTGGCTTTGAACAATCCATTTTCAGTATGTAAACAAACACTGAAAGGCAAAGTTTACAGCAATCTTTTATTTTAATGTCTAATGTTGCTTACAAAGCTGCAAATTTTACAGAACATTCTCTTTTTTGTTTTTTTGATATAAGGAATATCAGAATAAGATATTAGAATTAATCCTTTGTGATTGATCTATGCTGTAAGTTAAGGGTTAAATAGTAGGGAGGACTGACCTTTATGGTCTTGTATAGCAACCAGTCGAAGAAATGGAAAACTGAATTCCAAACCATAGAGAAAGCCATGGGAAACCACTTCACTATCTTTCCCCAAAATGGCTCAAAATTCAGATAATAAAGGCATGGAAACTGGAGTGTCATGATTACCTACATCTTAAAGGACATGAAGGAAGAAAAAAAACTGTTCTGAAAGGCCATTAAATTTAAATTCAATCAATTTCATGTAATTAATATCCTTTCTCCATAAACACAGATGAGGATAAAGAGAATGAACAAAACCTGAAACCAGATAAGCTCAAATTTCCTTATCAAGAAAATATTACATTTGATTAAAAGAGCAACCTTAAGTCAGCTAATTCATCCGCTAATGTCCTTTAAGTTGGTCATTGACTATTTTGGATATCCTGCTTTATAATTCATTCACATTAATAGCTGCATTCAAATCAAACACTTGAACAACAGAGATTTGTCACACACTGCTAATAATTAAATGTACTTATATACATTCACTGTCATTTCTTCTCGAGAGTTAAAATTAATTATCAACTCAACACCAGTGATGAAATGATGGGTTATTGTTATATAAAAATTTTTTTAAAAAAAATCAATTCTTCAATACAAAAGAAGTACTGAAAGGTTGTCTACCTGAGCAAATGACTAGACATCAGAATTATTTTTTCTTTTGGAAAGGTGTTGCTGAGAACCTTTCAGCTGTGCCTCATATAATCTCATAACTGAATTAATTGTATATCAAGAGGAAAGTGCTCATAGGAACGGCATGTACACTGCAATCTACAAGGTCCATCACAGGCATCCAATATGAAAGTCTTGATTATTGGACACATGTGAAAGACACATCTCTATGAAGGCAACAAGAAACTAAAAAAATTAAGGTAATGAAGGAACCAATGATGTCACAGTAGTGGCGGCAGCAGCTTGACCTGAACTTGCCTGTGTGTAAGGGGGAGGCTGATCATACCGGGTGCAAGGCGGGGCAGGGGGGAAGTCTACCTGATGTTCACTGTTGTGCCGTTTGGCGAGGAGGGCGTGGTTGACTTTTAACACAATCCAGTCAAACAGCGCACCATATAAACATTTTGCAAGTGCGTCCCTTGTAGCAATTGCCTGCAACACAAAAACAAATAACATTAAAAAATTAAATGCAAAAACAGAAAAAAATATTTTCTAAACTACAGAATGAAGAGAAAAGCATTTTTAGCTTATAGGATTTCAAAAGGATCAACTTATAATTCCTGAAGTGCTATTTCAAAAAAGGAAAAATATACAAATCAGTTTTAAATGTTAAGAAATGGTAAATTCATAAAGAATTTTGAAATGTAAATTCATAAGTAATCAAATTGAAGAAGTGAAAATAAAATTTTGATGCCTATATGGTCAATTCATCAAATCTATTTTTGCTTGGTCAAAAAACATTAAAGTTTTCCTTTTCTAGATTCAAACCAGACTTTTTAAATTAAAGGTAAAACTATTTCAAGTGAGACAAACATTGGTTGGGTATTATAGTCATTAGTAAAATTATAATGTAGCATTTCAGAAGAAAAGCTTTTTATTCCCTTCTTTAGAAAATAAATAGCAAAATAAGAGTGGGAAAATTGGCATGATTTGTAATTGCAAGATGTTTATTCCAAACAATGAAATTAGCTGGATAGAAGCTGTAACGATCTAAAGAGTGATAAGTTTAATTAGACCTAATTAGATGGAAAAGGTGGAAATAGATGATTTGACTTTTGAAAAGATTACACATGGAAATTTAAAATGTAAAAGCAAGCCATATTCAGGTAATGTACCTATTAAATGGGGAAAAATTGAACAGCTGTCAAAGGAAATTCAAAAAAGAATTAAAAACAATCTGGCAAAAATTAATGCAAAACAGGAAAGGTTTGTGGACCTATTCACAAATCAGTTTCAAAGATTTTTTTTTCATAGTGTAATATTAATTAGTCTCACCTACAAAAGCAACTTTCAAAAGCCTTTAATGTAATGCAACACTAGCTTAGGAATTTTTGCACAAAGTTAGCTATAAAGACTTATGCATATTTTATGTGAAAGTATTTATAGATATTTACCAAGTTTAGTTTAGTCCACACAAGCAAATTTAGGAAGTTGGGCCAAAATTTCAGATTTTTCAGTGAGAAATGCATAATTATTTCAGTCAACATATTAAATGTAACAATAAAAAAAGAACAGAAATTGTGTTTTGCTTTTATGTACTTACATCTTCCAACTTGTAGTTCATGAACACTGTCTCTCCTCCAGCAACTGTTCTCTTCTGGGTTAAGGCTTCAATGAGAGTTTTCTCCTTCACCTGAAACATTTTTTTTTTTTTTTTTTATATAGTTCATTGTTTATGAAAGTGATGAATATGCAAAAAGATCATTTTAAAACCAAGTGAACTACATTAACAAAATAAATTGGTAAGCAATTACTGAAATTTTAAAGGATGATTCAAACTTTTCTTTTAAATAGTGTTATATACTGTACCTATGAACATTAATTGGTATGTCCCAATCCTCATAAATACATTGAACACTATTGTAAGTGGGTGTAATACGCTGTCTAAGACTGCTATTGCCTTTTTTCATTAGTGGATTTGCGACCAGTGTTACTGCTTTTGAGAAGTTACTGTTTGAATTGATAAGTTTATTTTTGTTACTTTTAATTTTCTAAAACCGTTTTCAATTTTTCAGTTTTTCTTGTTTTTGGTACATATTATTATTTATACACTTCTTTTCTGTTTCTTTTCTGTTCATATTTTTACCCTCCCCCTGTTTTTATTTACCGTTTTCGTATTTGGTTGAATTGTTTATTGTCTTTGGTTTGCCACGTTCTTGTTCCATTTTATTTGATTTGCTTTTGACGGTTTTGTTTTTGTTCTGTGTTTAAAAAAAAGTTAAAAAGAAAAAAAAGAAACCATTTATTTGTTTGACTGTGGTGGGTTTTTACACCACCATGGTCAACAAAAACAATATTACGGATACACCAGTAACAAATCTGGTGTCAACAGCTACAACAGCATGGAGTCAAAATAGGCCGCTGAAAAAGGATGGCACATTTTACATGAACCAAAGAAAAAAGTACAAGGATAATGAGTTTTTAACAATTCCAGAAGCTCTGGATGCAGTAAGCCCGCGCACCATATCCCTGCTGACCTCCGATGTTAAAACCCAGAAATTAATTGGGGTTAGCAGAGAAAGCATGGAGGAAGCTTTAAAGCTTTTCAAATTAACCGTAGGATACTCATGAGAAGGACAAATGCCTTGTGGGACATCCTTCTCCAAACAGAAGAGCAGGCTAAGGAGTTAGCAGGCAGCATCTTAAGTACAAAGACTCTGAGACTTCAGACAGAATATATGGGTACACGTAGGACAAAAGTGACCATCCATGGGGTGCCCGTAGATATCCCAGATGACAGAATGGGGGTCTTCTTTGCCAAATTTGGTGAAGTAAATGAAGTAAAGGCCCTCATTAGCAAAGCCGGCATTGAGACGGAAATCCAGATAATTTTGAATAGAAAGGTTTTTCAGGAGATTCCCAACATCTTGGTTTGCTGTGACAGGAAGATGTTGGTAGTGGTGGAGGGCAGAAAACAGTGTTGCTGGTCATGCGAGGCATCGGGCCACATGGCAAAGGAGTGTACAACCTCCACCACGTCCAGCATCTACAACAGCTACAACAGCAACAATAGCAGCATGACAAGCAGAGGAGGAGACTTCAAAAATGGATGGAGAATGGAAAGAAGTCACCAAAGGACGGAAATCATCAAACATTTCATCCCATCCCCCAAAAAAAACAACAACAGCGGCATCAACAACAGAGAATGAAGTAGCAGTCACAAACAGAGATGACAATGGAGGTGGATAGAATGCCTCCACCTCAAGTTTCGTCTCTGAAAAGGAGCAGGGAGGAAGAAACAGAAGATCCACAGCAAAGGCACTCTGGCCATAGTAGGGTGGAGAGGGGCATGGACAGAACCAGGTCACTCTCAACCCTTTTTTCCATGAAGAGAAGCCATTAGCTCCCCAAAGCTGGAGCCTCTCAATCTTCCCCATGCTCCATCCCCTCCTCCAAACCTCTCTAAGTTCATTAGCTACTCCACCTCACACATCCTCTTCTTCCCCTCCTCATCCTTCAAGGGAGAAAAAAAAAAAAAAAAAAAACTTTTTGCAGGCTCTGAATCCATTTGCAAGGTAAGACAGGGAGGAGTATAAAAAGGGCCTGTCGAAACAGAAAAAGGCCCTTTTAGGAATGTTATTTGAAATGGACCCTGTCGACAAAAAAACTGTGGAAATTTGATTTTCCTCGAGCACCAGATGTAATAACCTACGTGAGGGACACTGGGGTACTTTTCAGTATGGAGCCACCTATTTGAGGCTAAAAAAGCCTTCCCATTCTTTTTTTTGAGTTGGAGAACTCCGATTTGAAAAAAACTGGAGACATTTTTTTTCAAGGGTCCCTGTTATTATCCATCCCTCCTTTATATAGAGCAGTTAAGCAAACGTACCCCACGGACATAGGTGGTATTGTCCTGGATGGTTTGGAAGACGATGGAGGTGGGAACAGGAAGCCTGGGACAATCCATCGAGGTCCTTACCGCTGCAGATTTCCAGCCTGTATGTGAGTAGGTTTTTTTTTTCTCACTTTTTTTTTTCCAGGCCTAGATGTCAATTAATATAGCCAGTTTGAATGCAAAGGGCTTGAGGGATCAGGGTAAGGCAGCTCACCTGCTCCGTGATCTCTTGTCTTTCGGCATGGATGTTGCCGCGATCGAAGAGACCCACTTTGTTTGCAGTGTCAATGCGTGTGTGTGCTATAGAGAGATTTTGTCGTTTATTCAGCATATGGGGACTGGCATGCCAAAGGTGTTTCTTTGCTGGTTAGGTGTACTCTTGATGCAAAGGTGGAACTTGTGCATGCCGATGGCTGGTTGATCGTGGCCGATATTGCCGTGAAAAGTGGTTCATTTCGAGTCGTTGTGGATTATGCGCCCAACAACTGGGAGGAGCGGGTCTTGTTTTTTCAGCAGTTGGGGTCATTCCTGGTGAATTCAACGTGCCTAGTTTTAATGGGGGACTGGAATGCTATCCTGGACCCTAACTTAGACAGGGGGCAGGGAGCTAGCGGGAGTAGGGGTGATCATAGCCTGGTTGATCTGATCAAAGTGTTTGGTCTCGTCGATAGATACCGGGTTGATCACCCTGGAGGTGGGGAATGTGGAAGTGGGCTCTTAATTGGCCTTTTACCTGGGTAGTTAGCTACCTGGATAGAATGTTAGTTAGAGGAGCCAACGTAGTGTTGTTAGGTTGTTCCACGTTCCACTGGGTAGGCTATTTGGATCACAAACTTGTTTGTGCCCGGGTGGCATTAGATGATAGGCCTACATTGGCTGGTTACTGGAAGTTCAATCTGTCTTTACTGGACAGGCGGGACTTCCAGGAGCAGCTAATTAGCTTAGTGCAGCGGGAGCTAGTGTGAGCGGTTATTGGAAATAAGTGGTGGGAGAGACTTAAGAAGTAGGATTAGGTCATTCACCACTGATTTCAGCAAACAGCTTGCCCTAGATAGAGCTGAAAAAAAACAAAAGATTTTTAAGGCTAGTTTTTCCCCGGCGGTGGCTGGGGGGATCCCCTAGAGATAGCCTTAGCTAAATTTTATTTTGGAGCGTTTGACTTCAGCGCTTTTGGGCCAGATAATTTGTAAGGCATAGGTTAAGCAAGATGTCTTCCGAAGCAGTGAATATGGGCAGATCTGCGCAAGGAAGAGATCCGTCAAGGGTCCGATCAATACATTCGTGAAAAAAAAAAAACCCAGAGGGACACACACTTTGGGCCACTGACAACATGTGATTTCATTCAAACATTTCTTTTTAAACTTTACCAAGGAGCCTGGTCTTTGTGAGGAGGAGTTTCAGAAGCTATTTGGCTGATCTTCCTCAACTTGGCGGCTAATTGTGAGGGGAGAAATTACGGAGGGCAAAGTCTATGCAGCATTGAAGAAATGTCGGCAGAGGCAAGTCGCCCGGTCTGGATGGTTTTGCCCTATAGATTGTACTTGAGGCTGTCGCACATCTTTGTCCCAATTTTGACAGTTGTGTTCAACAAAAATCCGAAATTTTTTCCATCCTCAACTGGTTCATTAGGGGTGTGATCACACTGTTGAAAAAGGAATTTTCTATTGGGGGGAAATTAGATGATTACAGGCCCATAACTCTGCTAAAACACAGAGTTAAAGATTTTGGCCAAGATCCTGCAAAAGCGTTTGCAGTCAGTTGCCGAGTCTCTGTTGGGTCCTGAGCAGACTTGTGCTGTGAGGGGCCGAACAATTCAGAGCAACCTGCATCTGATCCGCACAATCATAGAGGGTGTAAAAGACAACGATGAGGCCGCGCTGATCAATTTAGATCAGTCCAAGGCATTTGATAGGGTTGACCATGCTGTCCTTGCTGCTGTCCTGCAGGCCGCCAGATTCGAACCTTTTTTTTTCTGCCGCTGTTTTTGCACCTCCTGTTATCACTCCCCAGTACACAGGTGAACAGGAAGCTGTCAGACTTTTTGCGCTGTCTAAGGTCGGGTTCGTCAGGGTTATCCAGTCTAATTTATGCTTTGGAGTTGGAAGGTAATTCCGCCGGCTAAAGGACAGGGCCTGCAGTCCGGCCCCATTTTGTTCGCCGTTCCTGGAGAGGCTCAAGCCAGGGTTTCTGTGTACACCAATGACGTATCTGCTTTAGTGTCATCCCGCAGCGGCATTGAGGTGGTACTGAAGACGCTTGATTGGTATGAAAAGGTGACAGGGGCCAAAATAAACCGCGACAACTTGCGGTTAGGTGCTTGGAAGGGGGTTGAACTTCCAGGCCCCATTCGGTTGGACGGATGGTCCTATCTGCATTCTTGGTGTGTGGTTTGGACCCGACCTCCAGCTGGAGAAAATTGGTCTTTAGTGGAAGGGGTTATGGTCCTTTGCTGCTGGTTAGACTTGGAGTCAGGAGTTTTACTCTTTCTGGTCCTGAACGCCAGCGGCAGATTACCTCAGTAACCCTGAGTTTTCACTTACCTGGCAATTGGCACAGAATCGGCTGCTTCTCAATGACAAGGCCTTCATATGGGGCTTGGTAGATTTGCCAGACTGAACGGTGTGACCTTGGTTTAGAAGAAACGGCTTCGCACGCCTTCTACCATTGTTGCCAGGTCTGCCCCTTATGGGACCAAGTTGGCAAGTTGACGGTTCATCTTGTTCCCAAACAGCTTGTGCTCATTGATTGCACATGCACGTGTGACAATGTGTTGCCCCCATGTTCTGGGTTGAAACAAA